AAAAATCGCTAGGCCAACACGACACTTGCACCTGCAGAACTTGCCTGTGCCAAAATCTGTTCACCTTGGGTTAATGGCGTCGTCTCACCTTCGACCACGTGGTAGTTTTTTCCACGGAATTTGCTCTTCGCTTCGGACTTAGTAGTGTCTTCTTGATTCCGTCCAACTCCCAGTACGGCCGCAGGAAAAAAGAAGGAACTTGATAGAAATTTTTCCTTCCTAAGCGAATTCTCTTCACAAAGCTAAACGTCAAACTCCATATGATTGGGGTGCACTCGGAAAGGCAGTTCAGGGTCGCATTCGCGAACACCAACCGGTTTAAAATCAGTGTGACCGCAACAATTATAACATCACATAACGCTGTTTGCAAGTGGACTACTCATATGTACATTTCTTATTCGTTATCACGACAGTCAAAATATTGATCTCTTTGTTAATTTTTTGCGGCCCTGAAAAGGGCCTTTTGCGTATATATGGTATTGTGTATGTAGACCCAGATAAGCTTATATAAAGCATTTGATCCCTTTGTAAATTCTTTGCGGCCCTGAAAAGGGCCCTTTATGTATAAAAACACAGGGAAGCTAATGTTTGCAAAAAATTTGATCACTTTAGCAATTCGTGGCGGCCCTGAACAGGGCCTTTTGGTGTATCAAGAGCATTTACCTGTAATTAAATGAATTTATATTGCTATGCAATTAATGAACCATTTCCTTACGGGAGGCATTCTACGCATTCATCTTAGGTATATTTCACTTCTGATCACATGAGTGCACTTACTCCAGATGTTGATGTTGACCCTAAAGCTAGCAAGAAAAGAATTTTGGTAATGTTTTTGCAATATGTAAATTTATAGCTCACTATGTCATTTTATTTATATAAAATTATAACATTTATTCACTTACCAGGCCTGCTGCATACCTTGCTTATTTGTTGATGGTACCAAATGCACTTAAGTCAGTATTTTTTTATATTTTCTTTTTTTACTGTGGGCATTTTCTATAAGTTCTTTGTTTAGTTTTCTTATTTTAAAGAACATTCTTGCCCTGAAAAATAATTTTTTTACTTTAATATCGCAATGGATATTCGAGGCTTGCTCAATGTGTTTCTTTTCAAAGTAGTTTGTAATAAGCAAGCCATCTTCATTCATTGCTTGAAACATTGACTCTAAGTGACGCATTTGGTCCATCATTGCAGAGCTGGTGACTTGCGCATGAAAACGACGGGTCGTCATTGCTCCTGAGCGATGTGCTGGGGATGTCATCCTGCAGTCTGTGACAAATATACCCGGCTAAATGCTCGAGGCCATCATGCTCCAAGTCGCTGAACTCAGCTTCTTCAACCGGCCATAGTTCCGGGCCTTCTTGCAAATTTTGCAGGAATATACCTGATAATATAATATGTCGTATAATATAATATGATAATATAATATAATATAATAATATAATAGAATATAATATGTCATATAATATATTTTAATTGGAGAATACAATTTTCGAAGAACCTGTGAGTGGGGCTTGCGTCATTTCCAAGTCCGGCGTATCATCCTCCTCTACATTCGCAGAGTCTGACAAAACGCCTTTGTTGTGGCCAAGCAGATAAAGTCTGAGGCGGTACTTAAACTCCTGCTGCTCCGGGTGATCATGCAACCCACCTTGGGAACGAATCACACCAAAGAAGTTTTACAAGACATCTTGGTTGAGGCGATATGTTAGTACATACTTTACATCGAAGCGAGATTTGATCTCATCAAACATCATCTTCAATGCATTATCGCAATGTAGATCGCTCACAATGGTTTTGTTCACTTGCTGCTGGGCTTCCTTGTCAGCATCTGGTATTTCCGCAGCAGGTTTGAAAATTGTCGGCATAACGCCCCGCTTTAGTTTACGCTTTTTAGCGTAGCCTAACACAATTTAAAACATTTCTTTTAATAAAAAGCAGTATTAATGAAAAGTGAAAAATATAAGCTTCCGGGGGGTTTCATATTTACGATGAGGGCGGCTACCTTTCGTGAAATTTACTCCTGAGTCACACCATCCTCACGAATTCCAATAAGCGTTTATTGGCGAATTAAATAGTATAACTTACCCATTTTATATTGAAGCTCGTTCTCGAAGTCATCAGTGGTGAAGTGTTTTACACAGATGACGCTGGTTCGGGCGTTGAAAATCGTTGGTCTCCGGCAGAACTGGATCCACTTTTCCACCAACTCAATGTCGGCCGGAAAAGTAAAAAAAGCGCACCCAGATCCTTTGGCACTTACACTAGCACAATTAACCACTGCACACCTCATTTTTTTCTTTAATTTATAACTTTTTTTTATCAGTTTTCACAATTTGTAAATTTGTAAAGTTGAAATAACCTAAAACGTCACGAACCAGAAAATGTAAACAAAAGTATTGTGTGACGCCAGCGAATGGGTGGATGCTGTCAAATCGACGAAGAGAGGGTTAGCGGTCCGCGAATGACGCGACCTTTATTTTCTGGATCGTGAGTATCAGTATATAGAAAAGCTCAGAAAACATCCGAATTTACTTTTTTAACATGAACTTTTCCAAGTAATTGGCAACTTTGCTCCAATGTGTTGAACAATTTTTGTGAACTAATAACAAAATCGTCGATAGCGGGGAACCGAAAATTCCGCTACTAGACTCAGTAGCCGACAGTTAGTAGCCAGTAGCCATACGTAACGCGAATTTTAGTATAAGGTTGCCCATCGACTATTAGTCGCCATACACAATAGAGCCATAAATATCTATTTGCATTAATAGAAAGAAATGAACTATGTTTTGCATGTGTGTAATTATAAAAGCCCTTCGAGTTTCAGTGGCAGCACTACCGACACTTCTCCAAAATTACTTCGATATAATGAGAGTCATCTCACAACAACTAAAACAACTTTCGAATTTTTGCGATAAATTTTGAATTCTACCATCTCACATTTTAATAGTGGCCATCTGGCAATTTTCGGTAAGGTCCATAAATCGTTTTGATTATTCCGGCACAAAAAAAAAATGTCGCGTGCTTTTTACTAGACCCACCTACCGACATGTATTTCGACCCACTGAATTAAAATCTGAGGTCCGTTTGACACGTACACTAAGTTATGAAAAAGCGAAAAAATAGCAAAAAAATTTGCAATTTTCGCAATTTACTCGAAATTTTGTACGAGTCAAACGGACGGTTAAAAGCACCCGCATCTTTTTTTTTGTGCCGGTGCCATTATTCCGTGAGTCGCAAATATTGGCACATGTCGAACGAAAAATGATACTGAAATTGGCACAACGTCGAAACCGGTTTATCTCCAAACCAAATTTGACAAGGGATGATGGAAAATCATTCCACATTACATCATACTCCTACCCTGTCGGAAACATCTACAACGAAAATGACACGGCACATGCAACAATTACTTGTATGAAAAATATTTTCTAATAAAAAAAAAGTTATTATAATTGCAAATAGCATTTTCAATCTTGATAATTTATCAAGAAAATAGATTTACACTTCTGTGCTATAACTGGGAGTTCTTGATAAATAATCAAGAATTGACAAATTATAAAAATATTGAATTTATTAAGTCACAGAAACCGGCTGTAAGTATATACACATTTGTTGTGAAATATAGCAGTTTTATTCAGTACATATATTTTTTTCTCAGTGAAGAAGTGAAGATTTGGTAACTTTTGGTAACTTTTCTTAAGAGATTTTTGTAGACAAAAATTTTGGCGAGTGGCAACCATGGTCAATTGTGAGTAAGCATAAACCAGTTTCTGCAAGCGTACGTAAACTACCGATCAATAGCAAGACGCGTAGAGTATTTACTTTGCCTTCCGCAACTACTGCGAGTAAAAGGTATTTGACAGTAGAGTACTACTGGTAGTACTTGAGTATTTTCGAAGAAAACATACATTTGTGGTATCTGAATAAAACTAAGGACAGGAATGTAGTGGAGCGATGAAGAGAGCGACGAGAAAAACGTACTTTCAACTAAAATGCTGATATACATACCTAGGTACATATCGCACACCGTCTTCAAAAGAGTCACAACTCAAAATTTGGCATTTTTGAGATTATGCGCTCAAAATGTCTCTCTTTACCTTTCAGCAAAATCTGGAGCAAATTTTGTTATAATTTGTTAAAAAAAAAAACCTAAGGTAAAGTAGCCCTTGCCCATATGATTATCATGTGCTAACAAATAGTTTTTCGTATTTTCTGACAAACGTATTATTTTGAGTTGTGACTCGTTTGAAGACGGTGTGCGATATGTATGTATCTGCATAGATACTAAACTCCTGAGCAATTCCATTTAAAGGGCCTAACAAGACATCCGATCGCCGCGCAAATACTTTCCCTCCTTTACTCTCATCGTTCGGGTCAAGTGTGAGTAAGCATAAACCAGTTTCTGCAAGCGTACGT